GTATTTCCATTCTTCCTGTTATTGTCCGCAAAGGGGGTTGGAGTGGTGAGGAAGAGGGAGACGACGAATGCGAGCCCGAAGCTTTGCCGAGTTTTGCCGAAGCACACGCTGCATTGGCGAAAGTGAAGTTGTTCTTTTATGCGCTTAATATTAGTGAACGTGACGAGGAAAACATTTTGAACGTGGAAAGTGCTCTGTTTGGTCTAAAACGTAAAGTTTCGACAAACCAGTTGTCCATTAAAGACTTTTTTGGTAAAAAGAAGTAACTTTGAAAGAGAAACATTGTTTTTTTTAAAATTTTTAATGCTTTCCCGCATCTATCGTTTTCCCGCATTCATCGTTTTTATTTCCCACCCCCGCCGAAAATGATGCATCGAGGTTTCACTGTATTTACTTTCTTCAGAGGATCTTATAATTACTCTTACTGTGTAGCTACAGTTGATAGCTATGAGTAAACCAACTAGCTTTCGTTACACTCTGGCATCAATACATAACTTATATACTGAACACACTTTTCAGTCGTTGACAGATCAGCATCACTGTCCCTTGCTGTTGCTCATAGTTGTCTCACAACAGTGTAATATATTGGTTTGTGTACTACCAGGTATTTATCCATGATCTGGTAACTCTTTTAAAGCCCATTGGTAACTATACGTTCACCTGCTTTAACAGTTTATTCTTACTGTAACCTGGAATTATTTCCTTAAACAGCATTAACAAGCTGATCTTTGCAATGGTGCAGAGTTGTGTTTTGTTTGTGGTACAAACTGAATATTAAAATATTATTTAGATGAGCTTCATCTTCAAAAGGTGAACATATTTACAGTTGTTAAAATTTCAAATTATTGAAATAGTTCAGTAGAGTAAAATGCATACCATGATATCCAGAACCATAAATACTAATACACTTTTTAACAGTAGTTGTAGTGTGATCCCTTCTTTCAACACATTGGCACACTTGTAGAATGATGATAATTGCAACATGCACGTCATAACTTTGGCATACAACTAAAAGAACTTAACATTTATATAACATAATTTTATGTTATGTAAGATATCATACACAGGCAGAATAGAAAAGCAGTTTGCATCGTGATAAATAGTGACATGAGCAGAATCAACTGCAGTGATCAACATGTTATACACATGATGTTAAGAAAGAAAATTATGAAAAGAATATAGTGGGACAGATGATCAGAACACAATTTTTTACTTCACTTTAGTCAAAATCGTATGTTCAAATCTAGCCCTTCTAAAGCAGTAGTAATGTTATTAAGTGTCCAAATGAAAGGAAATGATCCAATATAGCCCATTCAGTGACTATAGGTTGTGTAACTGGGGTTCACCAGGGATAGGTTATAGTTAGTTAGTTGGTTAGTTAGTTAGTTAGTTAGTTTTTATTATTATTATCCCATCTCTTCACCACTTTATAGGGTATGTACTTCTATGTACCGGAGACACACCTTGTCCCTAAGGTACATAGGGCAGCAGCTATTTCCGGGATACATATTGTTTTTAGCAAGTGCCACATGTATTATAAAATAAGCCACTCTTGTTTTTCTTGATTAATTTTCTTGTGAGTCTTGGGCTTGTTGGCTGTGAATGTCCATGGCTGGCCTGCGTTGAGTTGCCTCGTTGCCGTAACCAACCTCAGCACTTGGAGTACCTAGGCGACCTGTACTCCAGATCTTTGTCTTTCCATTCTTTGGTAGTAGCTGCACGGTTGTCCACACTTTGAACTAGGGATTATTTATCGAGGTTTACTCCTCTAGATCCGCCGTGTTCTGTTACATAACAGAGTCACCTCTCGTCGGATGTGGCTCTTCACCACGCACGGACGGTCTTGAGCAAGGAGAGGCTCTTGGATGCCTAGCATCTGTATTGCGCTTCACTTACTCCTGGGTGGGTGAGGGCCAGTGTCCAGCATAGTCAGACTATGATGGTGAAAGGTACTACCTCTCCCCATTGCCTTAACCCCTTATTATTATTATTATGCTTGGCTGTTATTGGCCTTACTTGGCTGTTGCCAAGCACTTAAATAAATGAATTGAATTGAATTATTATTAAAAAAGCCACCATGACTGGACTGATAGGCTACAGTGCCCACCTAGTCTCCCTAGGGCTAAAATGGTCAGGGCATAAAATTAGCTGCTCACTGTGCTGAGGTTAGGGATGTGTGGAATTTTACTGTCAGCCTATCCTACTCATGGTGTGGCACATGGATAAGAGCGCCCGTACCAAAGTAAAGAAAGATCACACAGCATCTAGTTTATCATTTTAGGAAATCCAAGTACATCTATTATCCTAATTTTCATACCAAGTCAGAATATAACACGGGATATATGCCACTGGAAAGTTTAAAAATCTGCACCTCCAAGATCAAATATAATTGTCTTTTAATGGTACCCAGAGTTTCAATATCTCTAATCATCGTACACAAATCTGTGGTAGTTTAATCAAGCTGATATGCAGGAAACATGTTTTCATAATGTCCAGATTTATACTGACCATCTTTTGGAGTTTTGGAGGTTAACAAGATTTTTTCACAAAGGTTCTATACATTCTTAATTTGCCCCATCTTATCTACATGCCTGGCCCATTAACTGCCTTATTTTTACTACCTTAACAATACTAATAGAGCTATGTAAATTAGAGAATTCCTTGTTATGGAATATCCTCCAATTTCCACTTCATCATTCATAGGTCTAGGTATTTTTCCTATTTACTCTTTTTAAAATACTGGTATATTTACATGATTTTAAAGCTTTATTATGACAGTAGTCCGCTATTTTTCTTCGCCTGCTGCCCACAGCATAGATAATGGGTCTCACAGAATAGATGACCTTTCTTTCTACTATAGTATAGATACAGGGGCTGCTTCTAGCAAGCCACATATAACTTTATATACGGACAATGAAGAATGACCAAACAAAATTCTTGCCTGACAGTACTTGTAATTTGCCTTCAGAATAAGATACATTTCATAAACATACAAAAGAAGTGATAAAATTCTCAGATTGTTTTAATACATTGCTTCTTTAGCTTGTAAGAGAAGTGAAGAGACTGTGCATCTTACAAACAGAGGTTATCAGACTTGGACCAGAGATTGCAATAAAAATGGGATCAATGGAAAGTAGATAGAAAATAAAGACATGCATGTATACGATTTGATGTTTTCACAGTGGTGAGTATGAAGATTTCTGTCTTCTGGGTTGTTGTGCAACAACCCAGAAGACAGAAATCATCAAAGACATGCCTGTCTGACCCTATCATCCAGTGGGCTTTACGTATTGAAATATGTGTTTTATTTTTCCCTAACTTTGTATGCAGTATAAGCTAAATTTTTGTGTGTGTGTGAGAGGGGGGGGGAGAGGTGTGATTGCCAAGGAGATAAGGTTGTGTGTGGTCCTGTAAGGTGGAAGTCCCAAGTTTGATCCCATATGTTTCTTCTTTCAGTTTTCTTGTCAGTAACCATTTAAAAAACTACAGAAAAATCATGTATTTAAATTTTTCTATGTGTTATATGTTCATAAATAAATATGCCCATACTGATTTTTATTTACATTCTAATGTGTGTCACTACTACACTATGTTGGATGAGTTATTAAACAGTCTGTGAAAATAATATCAAATAACATGTTTGCACAACAGCCATGGTGGTCTAGCGGTTAGAACGCTGGCCTTGTAATCCTGGGGTCTCGGGTTCAATTCCCGGCGGTGCCCGAATTTATAACTTGTGTTGGGCAAGGCCGTGGTCTAGGCAACACGGAGTTTTCCTCCGTGGCATCCCAACAATTACTCCATTCACACACAGAAGAAGGCAGTGGCAAACCACTTCTGGATCATCTGCCAAGAACGTATATGAACAGGTCCCAGTCCGAGAAAAGGATGGAAGGATCCTGTTCATATGGACCTGTCGTCAGACAGAACACTAAATAAATAACATGTTTGCATTTACTCATTGCTGTTGATGAAGAACATGATTAGTATGTATTGGATACAGTATGAGTACTATTCTGTACGAGGTGCGATCGGAAAGTTTCAAGACTGTGTCAATAGAGGGCGAACCGGATGTAGTACGAGCTTCTGCCGCTAGGGGGTGCGGCCTACATTCAGCCGGCATTATCGAATTAGCATTTGTTTCTTAGTTATGGGCGTTTTGGTAGTGCATTACACCGACCCTCCTGCGATTTCGGAATGGCGTGTGCATCAAATTTTGCCAAAGACTCGCCAAAACTGCTACGGAAACCTATGAAATGCTAAAGCAAGCATTTGGGGAGTCCGCAATGGGTCGTGCACAAACTTTTGTGTGGCATTCACGTTTTAAAAATGGCCGAACCTCTGTCGATGATGACGAGCGTTCTGGACGACCATCTTCGAGCACAACGCCCGAAAATGTTACGAAGATTCGGCAGGCCAGTCACGAAGATCGACGTCGTACCATCAACGACTAATGCGACATTGTTGGGATAGGCTATGGGACCGGTCAGCTGATTCTAAAGGACGGAAGCGGCCGTCAAAGTGGCGCAACCACAACTGGCTGCTGCATCATGACAACGCGCCAGCGCACACCGCCCTCAAAGTTCGACAGTTTTTGGCCTCAAACACCATGGCCGTCATCCCGCACCCTCCTTATCCGCCGTGTGACTTCTTCCTCTTCCCAAAGATAAAAATTCAGCTAAAGGGATCGCACCTCGTATATGGGCACCCTAGTCAAAAGAGAAAAGTTTTATTGACAGATCACGTAACGTGTGTGTGTGTGTGTAGTATTAAATAAATTGGTGTATCATTATGCTGTGTGGGCATATTAAAGATAGAACAAATTTAAATCATGATTATGATAGTTTCTTAAATGTTCACTGGTGCACAACTAAAAAAAAGCTTTCTGTCTTCTGGGTTGTTGCACTGTATAGTCTGGTCAATGGTGACCAACGTTTCAGAGGTCATACTGCCTCCGTCATCAGGGCGATGACTACACAGCGCAACAACCCAGAAGACAGAAAGCTTCATACTCACCACTGTGAAAACCTCAAATCTTACAAAAAAAAGAAAATTTCAGAAACATGCAGAATTGAACCCAATACCCTTACATTTCAAGTCTGTATAACCTTATATCCTTGGCTACTTTTTCTTTCTTTCCATTTCCCCCTTTTTGTTTTTCTTGTTTTTCCAATTGCTATAATTACATACAGGACAAAGACAAACATCCTGAAGCAGAATTTGAACCCATGATCCCAGCAACCAAATGGCCAAGACCAATGCCTTAGACTGCATGGCCACTGTGACCAGCTTGCTGCTGAGCATCACCAGCAAATAAGCCAAATATACCCATATCAAATCAAAGTTCTAAAGAGTATGTTTTAGAACCTAAAGAACATTGGATGAAAGGTGAGACAGGTGTCTATTTTCCACCTACTTTCCATTGATCCCATAAAAGTTCTCAACCCAGATCTGTTAATTCAGTGATTCTGCAGTGTACAGGATCATTAGAAATGAAGTTCACACTTAAAAATTGATTTTTAACAAACAGTTGCCCCACAAAAGTTATGTTAATATCAGTTGAAATTTTTACTTAAAAAGATTTTTGTTTTCTAAATTTGCAAGTGATTTAGTTTAAGGAAATGGCATACAAAATGCTTCTGACAGAATATTAACAGTTCATAAAGGTGGGTTGGCCGTAGAAACCATGTGCTGTGAGATCATGTCTATGCCCCACCATATCCAATTGGGCTTGTTGACTTCAAAAATTGAATCTGTAAGGCCACTGCATCAGTTGAACAAGGAAGCTTGGGATGAATTCTTGTATCATTTGGATGTCAGAAGTACCTATGCAGCTTATATTCAACACATTTGGACAAATGTTGTGATTGAGTGGTTAGCACTCCTGCTTGGTATTCAGGAGGTTCTGGACTCAGACATTGACATGGAGACCTGCTATTTTGAATAAGTTTGAAAAGTGAATAATACTTTACCCCAGTGCTTTTGATGTTCCCTGAAAACTTATCTTTGGTGTGTTCTGTGTTATGTAATGTACCATACTGCTTCCAGAATAACAGTGTATATGACAGTACTCAATTTGACAATGGTGCGACTCCAGTGAATCCTCTGTATGCTGCATCATTACAAAGTCCTGACAGCATCACAGGCTACAGCATCGACAGTGCCCAGTCACTTGAAGTTGGTGCAGCTGGTCAAGGCTACCAACAGAATTATACAGTCCAACAACAGTGAAACAATTTTATGGCCTTTAAAATGTAAAAATTTGTTACATGTACAGTGATTGGAAAGGCATTCAGCCAGATATACACCATTCACAAGGTACAGTTTCAGTTGATGGCAGCAATAAAAGATTGATTAAAAGATATTACAGTAAAAATACAAAAAAAAACATGGCAGGGGAATATTCATGTTGCAGATTCTGTGAATGAAAAGTTCAGATAAAAACTTTTTTTATGTTCACTAAATTTATTGAAACAGTCAAGGATACCATTTTCAGTACTGAACTGACAATGAATATTTCATTATGTGAGTGTGTGTGTGGGAGTGAGTATATATGTCAGTGAACAAACATTTATTGATTGTAATTGCCTAATCTGCCAAACAGCATTCACAGTCTGGTCCTAAAGACCATGTGACCCAACTATTAATGGCAGGTGTGATATGATTATGACAGTACAATGAATTAGTGAGATTATATAAACCTGAAGATGACATCGATAGGAGTGAATTTGCTGTACTATGCTGAACTGCTCTCTTAGTATCCTGACATTCAGCATAAGTTATTGTCTAACAAGTGCTTATGTTCTTTTCATGTCATCATTTATATACTGAAGCAGAACTTACAGAAATTGGGTAGTTTAATTTAAAATGTTTTTGTTACACTGTGAGAAGATAGACTACAAAAATGCTTCATATATCTGTTTTGTACTAACTGCTGTTTTCCAACAGCACATGTTGTCATAGTTGTCTCACTTTCATGTGGATATGATAAATTGAATTGGGTGAGCAATATTTACATTTGCTCTTGAAATGAAAATGCAGGGCTTAATAAATCCTGGCTGTCCAATCATCATGGCACCTACAGTTTCCTCTGTGGTGATTTGTATTATTTTCTGGAGAGTTGTTAGAAAGTTTTCTATATTCATGCTTAAATTATATCATCAGTAATTAGGAAAGTATGAAATATTATAGTTGATTTAGCTAATTATTTGAATTCGATGAGTTATTATAAACATCTTGTTTTAGTAACATGCTGAATGAAATTTTGTATGTCTTAGGTTTTTATCAAGAAGTCAGAGCTTGTTGAATTTTACCATATATCACATTGATAAATTTTGGTTGCTTGGTAAGAAGGAATTAAGTTAAACATAATTTGTATCGACTTGAGCCCATCTTGCTAAAGACATAATAATGAACTTTCAGAGGGAACTATTCAAATATGTCTGTTGTCATAGAGTGAGTATTCTGTCAGAACAGTGTTTATTTTATAACCCCAGACTGAAAGTAATGTATTCACATATCCAGCTTTTTTCTGATTTTTAGAAGTTGCTCCTAGATCTGTAGAAATTTATGGAGACATGTATGTACTGGTCTTCAATTTAAGGCACCACTGTAAGCCCTTTGAACGTTTTCCTGATAAACCCAGCTCAGTAGCTGAGAAACTGCAAGCTGTTCTTCCCGCTAGTAATAGCAAACTGCGATTATTTCTTGTCACTAATACATGTTATTACATTTATCTTACCTTAAATCACAAAATATCTTCAGAGTGACTTCCCTGTGCTTGCAGGCAGGCTGCACATCTCGTCACAATTTCAGAAGTCTCATTGTTGTGTGAGCAGACCCCAATGACACACTAGATTTTGCAACTAAACATGTCAAGGATTTCCTTTGACTTGTTTCTAAGAAAGCCCAAATTCCATCTAATTTCTCTTCTGTCAATACACTCCATTTTTGTTCTTTCTTTTATCCAAAACTGAACCCATATTACAGCATTTTTTCACTAATATCTCTGTTATCGACTTGCTGGGAACACTTATATTAGGAAAATGTTGGCAAAATATGCAGCAGAATCTTCCATAGGATGAATATTTAACATTTGTTTCGACTAAGAACACACGTTGCTTAGTACTATACACCATCTTATCAATATAAATCCTGTACAAGAGAAATGCTGCAGTTGATTTGGCCAGTTATCTTGTGTGACTCACTGGATGAATGCACAGTTTGGGTTTGCATTGACATAGTGCTGGCCAAGCACACCCATAGCATCATAAATTGAAGGCTCTGTGTGTGTGTGTGTGTGTGTGGGTGTACACACACGCACACACGTTTTTTCTAGCCTTTGCATCCAGACCAGCTCTGGGTCCAACTACTCACTCCCCTCTAATGCTGAAGTTGAGAATGAATAGGAACTATACCCCCTCTACTCTGTGTGCCTAAATGGTGTTGACAGGATGGCTTTACCCTTCTTTTAAATACATATATGCATGCATACATGTGTGTGCACGTGAATGTACAACATACATACATACATGGACATGAACACATTTATATCACAGTTAATGTTGGGGGATATGTTCCATAAAACAACATAATAGTGAAACAGTTTTTTCCCATAATAATTAATGTAATGGGTGGGCATACATTCTTATTACAGATGTTTCCAGGTTTTAATAATCACAGTAAATAGGGATGTGTTTTTATTGCTAAGGAATAAAATAAGAAAAGAGGTAAATTTAAAAACATCTAAATTTTATATACTTTATTACAAATTAAAAAATACACCTGAAACATGTAAATCAAAGAATTAGTTTGTGTACTGTAAACCATTCCAATGGGAAAAACTGCGTAATTTAGCTTATGTTATCTGATGTGGCCCAGAGCATTCAACATAACTGCACGGGATGGTGGTGACTGTTGTTACATGTTGACCATTATGATGTATATTGGTGGCTGGCTGTAGAGGCTTTTGAAAATGAAAGAGTAGTGGCCTCTGCTTATTTTCTTTAGGTTTGGTCCTGGAAAATGCTTTGTAGCTAGCTTCAGCGATGAGAATGAGTGCTTTGTGTAGGTTTTTCTGTCATCTTGTTCTCTCTCTCTAAACCCCCCCCCCAAGTGAGATGGCTATTCTTCTTCATAAACTTCTCAAAGTGAGATTATGGTAGTTCATCTCCATCTGCATAATTGAATCTTGTCATATGCCAAGACACCTGTATCTTTTTTAATTGCTGAGATAATGTTTAATACTTGAAAGTTGAAGGCAATCTGTGGCAACATGCACTTCTAGATAGACACTGGGGAGTCAGGTCCATGAAAAAATTAGAAAAAGTATAATAAATATAATGGAACATTAGGTTTGATAAAGAGAATTAAAATTTATAAATACATATTCTGTTTGTTCAACCACATCAATTTGTGGCACCAGCAATGTTTTGCAAAATATAGCATTATTTGTCAACAGCATAAAAACTGAAACATTGTGCAAAATTATGTTAATGGGGTATAGTTGTCTGTATGTATGAAAATATAATACATGTTAAATATTTCTTATTCTTTTATACTTTGTATGAATACAACACATCTGTTGCAAACTGAAAAATTGGTGTATTGCACACGTCAGCCAGGTACCAAGTATTGCAAGGATACAAAACTTGGGAGGAGGGGTGAATACATATGCATCATTTAAGTTTTATCATCATGTTAACTTTCTGAAAGAGAACAGAAAGTCTGAATGAGGGTAATTAAATTAAAACTGCAAAAGTTATATAAAATAGTTGTAACCATTGTCTTACTATAAAATTGAACACTAATTTATTTTGGCAGATTGCAAGTCCAGAATTTCCAACATTATTTCATAAAAAGAAATTTATTTTACATTATTCAGTACTAGGTCACAAGTTAGAAAATGCAGTTTTCATCTGAATCACCCTTGTTTGTCTAATCATGTTATGCTCTTACAGAGTAGCAGTCCATTGTAACCAATTTGCATTGTTCAAACTGTCCCAATTAAAAGAACTGTTCATGGTTATTTCATAAGTACAGTGGCAAAAAAATCACATAGCACTCAGCAGGATGTACTTGCACACTAATTTAACATTTATAATAAGTCTGTATTAATGGAAGTTAATAGCTGATCTGTTCTTCCTTTTGCCATAGAAATAAATTTGCACAGTCATGTGTATATTCACAGTGTACCTTCATCCATTAAATCACAGTTTTTCTCGGTGCCCTCAACCAATGGATAATGTGGTAAATTTGATCTTTTTTCTTACCCTTGAGGCATTATTTTAACCATTTCCATGCTGTTTTATTTAGGAAAAATATATCGTACTGGTTACACACACGCATGTATTAGTTCTGAAATAAAACTAAGCTGTGACTATCCCATCATATACTTATTTTGCTATACAAAAATTGCACTTATTTTTTACTGGATTTTTTATCCAGCATCATAGGTTACAAGTTTTATAAAGGTGAAAATGAGCAAAAATAATATTAGTTGTTTGTAGGGTATGAGCAGATACATGGATATTAAACATGTACTATATATTTCAGTCTGTAAGTTTTCTTGCCAGTCCATGTTTATTATAGAGTATTCTGGATGTAGTAACATGTTTAAATGGTAAAAGTTTCATTTCAGAGGAACTTTCTGCCTCCTACTTTGTCCCCAAAGGAGATAAGATAGGTCAGACCATTTTTTAAGTGCTTGATTCCAAAGTACGAAGTAGTTGTCTAACTTTGTGTGCAAGATTGATAAATACCAATTTCTGCTTTGGACCATGTTCTCACAGGACCAGATGCATTGTTCATCATCCTTTCACTAGAATGGGTGGTTTATCTTATGACAAAGCCTTGTCCATTCTTCTGTCCTTCCATTAGACTCTTTCTGTATGTGTCCACACTCTCCATACTTCTGTTGTATGTCTTCCCGCACTTGGGCTCTCCACCCAGTCCTTGGTTTTCCCAATGTTTTAATTTTTTATATCAACAAAATTCTCCTGGCATCCATCATAACACATGTTAATTACTTGTAACAACTTATATTGTTCAAAATTAAGTATCATTATTACAGATGTTTTAGACTTGCCAGGAACTATAATTTATGCATATGTTGCTGGTGCGAATGCCTTCCTAGGAACAAAAAAGTCTCACTCTTTCGTGCAGTCCTTCTCAGTCTTGGGATAGAGTAGTGAGGAATCTCATATATATATATGCTGTGTGACCACATTATTGTCGTATTTCATTGGTGCACATGAAATTAAGCTTTTGGTTATTTCTAAATAAATTTGTGCTTCTTCGGAAGTATTCTCAAGCACGGACAAATATGATCCTATGACCTCCTGTCCATGCATTGTGGGGAAGATGCAAAAGTTTGTTCTGCACAGCTCCCACAACTTCCAGACACTTAGGAAGGAATGTGTAAATGGGGACTAAAGTTTGTGCAAGTTTGTTTCAATTACATATACCTTGTTACTGGGAAGTTAAAGGATTGTATCTTGTGTCCTTGAACACTTAATTTAAAGCTCAAGTTCTGATGAAATGTGTTTTATGCTGTTTTCTTGTTCATGTTCCAGCAATATACTTTAAAATGTAGGACTCATTAAATTAACTCAGAATTACTACAAAACACTGAAAAAGCAAATAACTTTGCAAACATATTTGTGATATATATATACTTTATGTAATTATACTGCCAAATAATCATTTATTATGCTGTGAAACTAACCTGATTTGAATCTTTACTGTCTTTGCACATAAGTGTACATAGTATGAGTATATACTAGAACACATATGGGATCAGAAGAAGGATAAACAAGGTCTTATGAACATAATGAAATATAAAATTAAAAGGAAGTTAGTATAATTTGGTATGTAAAAACATTCTTACACTGAATCAGTAAAATTTTCTGTTACTATAACAGTATTATTGGGCTGATGGGAAGTATTCTGATTATGTTTCATTGCATTTGTGCATACTAGGTTGCATGATCATATTAATTCATTTTGTAGTTTCCAAGTGATATGTTTAGATTACTATAGCAGCATGTATATGTATAAGGGTAACATTGAAATTCTCAAGAGAAAGCTGTTCTATAACAAATTGTCCTGCCAACTGTTAAAACAAAAATACAAATGGTATTTTTTGATGTTTTGACAGTGTATTTTTAACTCGTGTTTATAGAAAATCTATTTCACTTTAGTATCTGTTCAATTGTAATCATCTTGCTGTAACATAGGACCATAAATGTTGATGTCCCTCAATGACAGCAGTGTGCAATTGAAAGTATTTTGATGCATCTGAATTTAATTTTCATGTATTATTTTTAATTTAGAGTTTGTATAGGTAACCTTCTGTTAGATCCTTTGCCAGGGCACAGTGGCCTCAAACAAGGGGATGCTTCATCCCCAGTTCTTTTTAACTTTGCTCTAGGACGTGTCAGAGGGTATCCAAAGGGGTTGAATTGAATGGTGTGCACCAGGTACATGCCATGTATGTGCTGATGATGTCAATTTGCTAGGGGATGGTGTGGGTATCATAACCAAGAATGCAGAAACTCTCCTACAGGCTAGCAAGGAAATAGGCCTAGAAGTAAATGTAGATAAAACTAAATACATGGGCGTAATATGGGATCAACATCACCACCAACAGCAGAACGTTATTATAAGTAACACATCATTTGAAAATGTTTAAAAATTTAAGTATCTGGGAACAACAATAACAAATACAAATGAGGTCCATGATGAAATAAAAGTAGAATACAGTCGGGAAATGCTTGTTTTTATTCAATTAAAAAACTTATCATCCTGTTTACTATCAAAAACACTGAAGATCAGGATATATAAAACAATAATTTTGCCTGTTGTCTTGTATAGTTGAGAAACATAGTCTCTTACTTTGAAGGAAGAACGTAGATTACAAGCGTTTCAAAACAGTGCTCAGGAGGATATTTGTACCTAGGAGGGATGAAATAAGCGGAGAATTTAGAATATTGCATAATGAGGAGCTGCGTGAATTGTACAGGTCACCTACCATAGTGAGGATAGTGAAATCTAGGAGGCTATGATGGGTTGGGCATGGAGGGGGATGGAGGCAAGGGGTGCATACAGGATTTTGGTGGGGAATCCTTCTGGAAAATGACCACTGGGCAGACCAAGAAGGAGATGGGAGTATAACATCTAGATGGATCTTAGGGAGGTGGGCTGTGAGGATGACAAATGGATGGAGTTGACTCAGGATTGTGGCTGGTGGCAGGATTTGGTGTTGTCACTGTTGAACCTGCAGGTTCTGTTACCAGGGAATTAGTTATTTTCAATTTACCAAAGATAATTTAGACAGAGGTACAGTTGTTTTTGTTTTTTTATACAGTGGCTTATGTAAATATGGCTAATATTTGGATGTTAGATTTAAGAATGGAGGTTTTAAAATATATAGTCACAATATATTTTAGTACAGGTGATAGTGGGTGCAATTAATTATTATAGGTTAAAATGTTTTGCATTTTAATGAAACCAAGGTGCAGTGAACCACGTAATGAAGTATTCTACATACATCTGGTTCATGCTTTTCTTTCTGCATTAACATAAAACATTGAGATCTCACAAAACTATGGCTATGCCTTGGTTTTAATATTTTCATACCATTATAAAATGCATTTAAATCCAGAACATCTTTTTTATTACTCGTAGCCCTTCCATGGCTCTCAACTCATGCCCTTATTTATCTTAATTATTGCAATGGCATGGTTGATAATGGAGTATTGTGTATAGTGGTACTTATTCCGCATTAGCAAAATACTGTTAAAAGTGATACATTGTTTGAAGTAATTTATTGAATCATTGTCATTAAATACTAAAGAATGTTACTGGTCACTTTATTTCACACCCCAATCCATTCATTAAGTGTTGGTATGTAAGAAGCCTTATACATTATTGTTTCTGCAGTTTGTTTAGATACACATATATAGTGATAATTATATAGGTATTATACTGATTAGGAAAGAACTGAAGAACATTATGAACAAATACAAGATACTGAACCTTTAAATCTCCAAATACAAAACAGGAGTGCACTGTATTGTGATATTTGACAAACTTCTTTTAATCTTTCAGTTGGGCAAGCCATAGCACATATGGGGGAGACGAGAAGTGCATACAAAAATTTGAAAGGAAGAGACCATGTCAGTGGGTATTTAAATGGATTATAATGTAATAGGGTGTGAATACTGTATTTTTATTTACCACTCGGTGTAGAGGTAGAGTTTTGTGTACATGGCAATGAAGCTTTTGTTCCTTCAAAGGCAGGGAAGTCTTGAATACTTGAGTCACTATCAGGTTCTCAAGGCAGACTATGCTGCATGGCTGCTTTCTGGATTGTAGCGCTGCATAGTTTTAATAGATGTTCGCCAATGTTTGAGGTCATTATAATGGAGGCAGCAATGACCTCTGAAACAGTGAATTTATACCAGACTACACAGCACTACAACCCAGAAGATAGCCATCTTATTTTTTTGTGACTTCTCTAAGCCTATTTAATATGATATTAAATTTGCATTAGATACTTAAAGCATGAGGAGGGACAACAAACACATAATTATTTATCTGGGGCTGATGGTGGGTTGTTGTGAACACAGCAATGAACTTTGAATCCCACAAAAGACAGAGAATTACTAGCTGAGTGCATAATTAGCTTTTAAAAGAATATGCTCCTTGATAGTTAATTAGTATTGATTTTATCTTGCACATAAAATAATATTTTAGATTCAATAAACACAAACTTTAAAATTGGTCAATTTTGCTTACTTCCATTTGATCATGTCACATGGAATTATTTTCTGGGGAAACTCAACAGACAGCAAAAATGTATTTTACATTCAAAAGAAAATCATTACAATAATGGCAGGCACTAAAGTGAGAGCCTCATATAGGAAGCTGTTTATGAAATTTAATATTCTTCCACTAGCCAGCAAATTCTTGCTCTCATTATAATAATTTGTATTGTATGACATGAAACATTTTCAAACAAACTTAGATATCCACAATATAAGTACTAGGTACATATACAACCTACACATGCCAAACACCAAACTCAGTAAACATTACAAAGGAGTTTACTATACTGGAATTAAATTATTCAATAATCTTGCCCCCACTACAAGGACTTAATCATGATATAAAGAGGTTTAAGACTCCCACTCCATTGAAGAATTTACCTCAACCGAAACTCTCAGCTATATAAATACATGTAAAATATATTAGTTTTGCTTGTGTAAATATTTTTGTGATAATTACTTTACTTGACTAGAAATTACTGTATGAACTGTGTAATTTATATTTGTATTTGTGCTATGGCATGTTTTACATCCTTGGCGTGGGTCTATGAAGGATCGATGGAACGTGCATAAATTCTATTCTATACAAAGAAAAGTTGTTTTTCAGTGAAAAGTGCATATTAAACCAATATTTTCTCACGCTACCTACCACAGTTAATACCAACATACATTATCAACTTTATAGGCAGTATACTCTCTGACATTCCTGCGAACTTGTAGTCTCTACCCGTTCATAGACTAATACCAACATAGAAATGGAAAATATTTATTCACTAAGTTAATGTACAGTAACTGAGATCTACTTCCTGTTCTTTCAGCAAGGAAGATGGCTGATCAGGTACGCTTTGTATATTATAGTGTGTACAAGATGTATTTATTATAGTACTTCGTGTGCTTATATTTGTTTTAGGTGATGATTTAGTTACGGATTTCTTGTTTTTATTCATGAAAGAGCGTTTGAAGGTTATTCTTTCTGGGGTATTGTAATTCGGAAATATTTTTCCACGTGGATGCTTAATGAAACATTGCAGTAATTTTAGTTTATCTTTGCATGTAGTAAAATTTAATTTACTGCAAAGCAGGATTGTATAGATTATAACTGATTTAATAGTCCACTGTAGAATAGATTTTGTGCCTGATTTTGCAGGCCACTGTAGTATTTGTAACACGTTCATGTGCTACGCGGATTGCAAATACATAATCGCAGTGTTTGGTAACGGAATTGAAAATAATTTTGCAAGGTAATGGAACATTATTTTTATAGTACATGCATAGTTATTTATTTTCTTTAAATACTGGTTAATTGTTTACATATACGGTAAATATAAATGAGCTATGTGTAATCGTGAAGCAGCCTGCACCATTCTATCACAGTATTTTCTGCGAAAGTTTACTGAATGTTTGATCTACTGCTGTGGAGAGGCAAGTGGTTCACTGATATTTTTGACTAACCCTACTTACAATTATAACATGGTGTCTTAGTCAAAAATGTTTTTGTGTGTTTGTGCTTCAGCAGAAATTAAGAATACCCTATGGTCCAGCCCATGTCTGTCTGTCTCGTGTCTTTCAGGTAGATCCCAC